GATGAAAAAAAACAAAGAAAAACAAAGAATTATTAATTTGCAAAAGGTTTGGAGAGAGAGATGTTACTGTCGTACTTTGGAAGTGACATCCAACATCCATTTAAAGTGACAGAAAGCATTTTAAAACTGATGTGGTTTCCTACAAGTCACAAAGGATCCGTTTCTTTGTGTTCAGTCAAGATGAAGTTGCTGCTTGTTGTTTCTGCTGTTCTGGCTGTAGCCAGCTGTGCCAGCATCTCTCTGGAAGATCTGGAGTTTCGCGCCTGGAAACTCAAGTTTGGTGAGACAGCAGACACTTTCTCTCCTCTTTTGTTTTTGTGTTTTTTCAGAAGCTTCTGATCATGTTTTGTGTTCTTTAAGACACTGTCCAAACCTCAAACTTGCCTCATCCAGTTATGTAAAAGTTTATAAGATTCAAATCAAAGGAAATATGTTAGTGAATCAAAAAATTGTTCTGTTTCTCATAATTTCCTTTTCCGACTTGCAGAAAAGTCATATGACTCTGAGTCAGAGGAGGCTCACCGGAAGCAGATCTGGCTCAACAACCGCAAACATGTGCTAGTGCACAACATCTTGGCAGACCAGGGTTTGAAATCCTACCACCTTGGGATGACCCACTTTGCTGACATGGTATGTGTACAAAAAAAGAGATCATTCAGATTTTACCCTTCACCAATTCAGTTGTTATGTCTTTTTTGATGGAATTAGCATGTGAGGATACAAAAAACCAAACAACAACTTTGTTTGATAAAACCCCCATGAATGTCTTCCCTCTTTATCAGGAACATGAAGAGTACAAACAGCTGATTTCCCAAAGCTACCTTGGCTCCTTTAATGCTTCTCTGCCTCAGCGTGGCTCTAGCTTCTTTCGCCTGCCTGAAGGTACTGATCTGCCCGACACTGTTGACTGGAGGGATAAGGGATATGTCACTGAAGTCAAGGATCAGAAGATATGTGGCTCCTGCTGGGCCTTCAGTACAGTGAGTACATAAAATTTTGTGTTGTTTGGGCAACTTTGGGAAACAAAAACTGTTGCCTGGTTTGAAATCGACTCGTCCTTACTGAAGACTGGTGTACTGGAGGGTCAGCACTTCAGGAAGACAGGAAAGCTGGTGTCTCTGAGTGAGCAGCAGTTAATGGACTGCTCTCACAGCTTTGGCAACAATGGCTGCAAAGGAGGATCAGTGAAGCGGGCCTTTCAGTACATCCAAGCCAATGGAGGAATTGACACTGAGACATCCTACCCTTATGAGGCTAAGGTAAATAAATAGCAATATATCAAACACACACACACACACACACACACACACACACACACACCACACACACCTCACACACACACACACACACACACACACACACACACACACGCACCTGTTTCTTCTGTGATTTAAATCACAAACCTTGAATATATGCAGTCAGGTCTTTATCACCTGAATATCATCACATTGTAAATATCAGAATTATAAATGCAAATCAGCTCATTCAGACAGTGGTGTTAATAATGGCCATGCATGAAAGGCTGTACAGTACTGCCAAAACATATGGTAGCTCCAAGCCCTGTAAAACTCACAGCATGAGCTACTTTGTTAACTTCTTTCAAAATCTATTTTTAACAGCTTTTGGAAAGCCTCTGTTTGCTAATATAAATATGTGACAGCAGTAGAAACTTATGATTGCATATGTTCTCTGTATTAGGGTCAACAATGCCATTACAAGCCTGATGGTATTGGTGCCAAATGCACTGGCTATGTTGAAGTGGAACCCAGTAACGAAGACGCCCTGAAGGAGGCTGTGGCCACTATTGGACCAATATCTGTTGGCATCGATGCTTCTCATAACTCATTCAGATTCTACCAATCAGGTGCAGACATTGAAAAAATATTTGTAAAGTGCAGAGAAACATTTTTAAATTGGAAAAGAAATGTGAAATGCTTCATTTGTTCTTTTGTTCAGTCTGATTGACATGTATTTGCAGGAGTGTATGATGAGCCCGACTGCAGCAAGACAGTGTTGAACCACGATGTGCTGGCTGTGGGTTATGGTACAGAAGATGGACATGACTACTGGTTGATCAAGAACAGGTATTTACTCCCATGTGACGCTCATATTTTAATGTTTTAGCAGCTAAATGTTGTTAAACTGTGCAATTTGTTTCTTTCTGCAGCTGGGGTCTCAGATGGGGAGACAAGGGATACATTAAGATGAGCAGGAACAAATCCAACCAGTGTGGGATTTCTTCTGATGCAACGTACCCTCTGGTCTGAAGAGGTCGGAAGAAACCTATCCTCAGTTGTTCCCTCTGATTTGACCAAAATTTAGTTTAAAGTTTTTAACCGTGTTATGTAACTAAACATAATTTTATTTGTCGGGTCAAGAACCTCTCTTTTCCTGCATCAGTGTTTAATGGAATAAATTCATAAATAAGACAAATACAAGTTAAAATAAATACATAAATTGTCAAACTGTGTTCTGTTCATCAATCCATCATCTAGACATAAATGTTTAGCACCTGTGGAATGCAGCTGCAGACTTTTGTGTTCCCCAGTTATTTTTGTGTTTTGTGACTCTTCGTATTATGACGGTTTAAGTTCAAGTTTTTAAAGTTTAGCACCAAGTTTAGGTCTTTCTATGTTTTTAAGTTTTCTTGTGTGTCTGTGAGGTTTCTCTTGTGTCTTTGTCTCACCTCTGTGTCACTTGTGAGAAACTGTTTTGTCCCTAGTGCTCTGTGTGTCTTAGTCATGTCGCTGTGCTTCATCTTCCTTCCCCTTTTCCCTTTTTCCTCTCCTCGTGTTTTATCTTTTGCTTTTCCCCATTTCTGTGTCGTGTACTTCCTGTTTTATTTTGACAGTCTTTCATCCCGTGTGCAGTGTATTTGATTTTGCTTCCCAGTCTCGTTAGGTCTAATTCATCCTAGCTATGTTCCCATGTGCCTCATCTTCCCTAAAAGCTCAAAGAAAATGGAGCAGAGTGGATACTTTGATACTACTTGTTCATATTGTAACATAAGAAACTTTGCTCAACTCCTGTCTGGCTTAAAATGACTCATCCTTATTGCAGACTTACACATTGGAGGTTCAGAACTTCAGGAAGATTAGAGAGCTGGTGGCTTTAAGTAAGAAGCAGTTGGTTGATTCGTTAGCAACCATGGAAACAGTGGTGGCAATGACGGTTTGATGGACTGGGCCATTCAGTAGTGGTGTGAAATATTGATGCCTCTGACACAAGATATTTATGTTCTAGAATCAATTCTCATATTAAAATATTGATATTTTAGTCATTTGTGATAAATTTGTAATTTTTCATGAACTGAAAAACAGTGGAAAAGTAACTTTATTACTGGGATTCTGTAAATGATTGGTAGGAACTACTTCTTTTCCCACCTGTCATAGTGATACGCAAAATATCCTGTATAAATGCATCACAGCTCACTTAGTTGACAATAATGGGTGATTATAAGCAGAGCCATGTGTGGAGCTATTTCAGCTAAAACTAAAATAGTGCACATTTAATAATTGAGAAAACTGTAAAGGAAAAATAGAGACACATAAATGACCATTATATGGAAGGCTTGAGAAGACAGGATGGAGGCGTGAGGAAGGAATTACAGTAAACTCTATAGCTAGTAGAAAAACAGAACAAACCTTAATACGCTAAGAATACATAAAAGAAATATACACAATAAACAAACCAGGAATCAAACACAGAATATATAGGTAAACCAAATGAATAAACAAATTCAAAAATGCTGGGTAGCTGAGCCTCCACTGAGAAAAACGATTTATTATTATTCATCCATCCATCCATTCGCTTCCGCTTATCCTTTTCAGGGTCGCGGGGGGCGCTGGAGCCTATCCCAGCTGTCATAGGGCGAGAGGCGGGGTACACCCTGGACAGGTCGCCAGGGACAGACAACCATTCGCACTCACATTCACTCGCACATTCACACAATGGCAATTTGGATTTTCCAATTAACCTATCCCCTCAAGCTGCATGTCTTTGGACGGTGGGAGGAAGCCAGAGTACCCGGAGGGAACCCACGCAAACACGGGGAGAACATGCAAACTCCACACAGAAAGACCCCGGCCTGATGTTGGAATTGAACTCAGGACCTTCTTGCTGTGCGGCAACAGTGCTAACCACCGTGCTTCCCTTTATTATTATTATTATTATTATTATTATTATTATTATTATTATTATTATTATTATTATTATTATTGTTGTTGTTGTTGTTGTTGTTGTTGTTGTTGTTGTTATGCGAGAGTAAAATGCTACTGAAATATATAAAATCAAAGGTTTAAAGTAAAGACAACCGAAACAACCCTCCATTTGTGCTAATGTTTGTCCACCAGAGGGCAGTCTGAAAGTCTAAGCAGAGGCATGTAAGGCGTAAATGAGCAATCAATGTGTTTACTTTAAAATTATTTTTCAGGCTCTTGATGCTCTCCACTGTACACTTGTAAAAGGCCAGAGCCTCCTCTGTAGGGAGGCATGTAAGGGTGGTAAGTAAGCATATACTTTAGCCTTTGCACACAATGTGCTTCAGCATTTTGCACATTTTTTGTTAAAGAAATAATGACATGGTGTAACATGTTATGTTTTGTAGCTCATATGAGGTTGTGGTTACCTCATTTTAAGAACACTGTAAAACCTTAAAATTTGAAAGGGGTTTTACCTGATCTTGACCACTCAGTATTCATGTCCATTCTCAGTGCTACATGTCGATGGGGTGGAAGGGCATTTATTCCTCCAGGACCTGAAGCTCAGTAAAGCACCCCACCAACAGCCAAACCCACCTGTTCTCTGATTGGATTGTTAAATTTGTGATTGTCATGACATGACTAATACCTAATCAGCTGAAAGGAAGAAAACTTTTGTTAAAAGAGTGACATCATGCAAACATCATGTGATCCTTCTCCAAATGTATAGCTCCACCTTTTACTGCACCTGAAATTCTTTCACTATGTTTTTGAACTGTTGTGAGTCACCAAACTGGAATACAACTATTATAGTTAGCCATATAGGAACTCTGTTTCTCTGATACAGAACTACAGTACCCAAGCCCGAACTGGCTTAACCTCAATCTTTGCAACATTTTGTGTGGTTTTCTGCAAGACAAAAGGATCTGTATTTTTCTGCTTGTCTTCAATCAAGATGAAGTTGCTTCTAGTTGTTACTGCTTTTTTGGCTGTGACCAGCTGTGCCAGCATCTCTCTTGGAGATCTGGAGTTTCATGCATGGAAGCTCAAGTTTGGTGAGACAGTAGACCCTTTTCTCCTCTTTTAGTTTAGCCTTGGGTGAAATGCTGTTGTTCATGTTTTGTGGTCTTTAAAATATGCTCAGTAAACCTCAAATTCTGAGAAAAAATGTGAACTAACCCTTACGGTTGCTTATAGAAAAGTTTAAAAGGAATAAAAGGGTATCTCTTACCAGAAATTCAATTTTTATTCTTTATTCATAATTCCTTTGTTCTCTTTATGATTTTTTCATTTTCCAACTGGCAGAAAAGTCCTATGACTCTCCATCAGAGGAGGCTCATCGGAAGCAGATCTGGCTCAACAACCGTGAATTTGTGCTAATTCACAACATATTAGCAGACCAGGGTTTCAAGTCATACCGCCTCGGTATGACCTACTTTGCTGACATGGTATGTACGGAAAAACATGTGCCAGTTATGTTTAATCCTTTTTAAAAACATTTAAATTTTGATTGCAAAAATGATATTTGAAAAGAAAAAAAATGTCCTTCTTCATTATGTTATGTTATTATGTTGCTTTTATTATTCTACCATGTACAGTGTCCATGAGTGTTCTGAAAGGCGCTTTCAAATAAAATGTATTATTATTATTATTATTAGGAAAATGAGGAATACAAGCACCTGATTTCCCAGGGCTGCCTTGGTTCCCTCAATGTTTCCTTGCCTCACAATGGTTCTGCGTTTCTCCGGCTACCTGAAGATATTGATCTGCCCGACACTGTTGACTGGAGAGAAAAGGGATATGTCACTGATGTCAAGGATCAGAAGAAGTGTGGCTCCTGCTGGGCCTTCAGTGCAGTCAGTACATATAACTTAGTGTTCTCTACTTGTTGTAATTTGGCAAACGTTGCTCAACTTAATTATATTGTATAATCAGCTATATATTCTGGATTAAGATGAACTCATGTTTATTGCAGACTGGTGCACTGGAGGGTCAGCACTTCAGGAAGACAGGAAAATTGGTGTCTCTGAGTGAACAGCAGTTGGTGGACTGCTCTCGCAGCTTTGGGAACCACGGCTGCCAAGGAGGCTTGTCATACCAGGCTTTTCACTACATTATATACAATGGAGGAATTGACACTGAGGCGTCCTACCCTTATGAGGCTAGGGTAATTAGACAGCAATGTCTCAAAAACCTGCTGTCACACCAGATCTCCTAAAACAAAATCTTTGAACGTACATTTTCAGGTGTTCATTACCTGACTATGATCATCTTGCTAAATATCAAAGTTGAAACCGCCATGTGCTCATTCAGACGGTGGTAGTCATGATGGTTTCTGGCTAAAATATATAGTAGTTCCAAGACTTGTAAAGTAGTACTACTTACTACTTACTGTACTTCTTTCAAATACAATTCAATCTAGTATAGTAAATTATAGTAAATTATAACATATTTTCTCTCAATTAGGATGGACTATGCCGTTACAACCCCAATGCTATTGGTGCCAAATGCACTAGCTATGTTCATGTGAGTAACTCTGATGAAGCTGCACTGAAGTCTGCTGTGGCTACCTTTGGACCGATATCTGTGTCCATTGATGCTTCTCATCGATCGTTTCAACTCTACCATTCAGGTGCAGACATTGACACACTTTGGGGAAAGTACCAAGAAAAATATCTTCAAATAGAAAAAGAAATTGAAGGTGCTTAATTTATTCTTTATACCTGTAAGTCTGATTGACATGTATTTACAGGATTGTATGATGAGCCGGCCTGCAGCAGCACACGTTTGGGCCATGCTGTGCTGCTTGTAGGTTATGGTACTTTGACTGGACACGACTACTGGCTGGTCAAGAACAGGTAAATACCCACATGTGATGCTCATATTTTAATTCGTTCATTTCATTCTTTACAATATTCACTGAGAGGTGATACACAGATACGTATACATGAACATGAAGTGTGAGCTTTACAGTGGGGCAAAAAAGTATTTAGTCAGCCACCGATTGTGCAAGTTCCCCCACCTAAAATGATGACAGAGGTCAGTAATTTGCACCAGAGGTACACTTCAACTGTGAGAGACAGAATGTGAAAAAAAAAATCCATGAATCCACATGGTAGGATTTGTAAAGAATTTATTCGTAAATCAGGGTGGAAAATAAGTATTTGGTCAATAACAAAAATACAACTCAATACTTTGTAACATAACCTTTGTTGGCAATAACAGAGGTCAAACGTTTACTATAGGTCTTTACCAGGTTTGCACACACAGTAGCTGGTATTTTGGCCCATTCCTCCATGCAGATCTTCTCGAGAGCAGTGATGTTTTGGGGCTGTCGCGACAACACAGACTTTCAACTCCCGCCACAGATTTTCTATGGGGTTGAGGTCTGGAGACTGGCTAGGCCACTCCAGACTTTCAAATGCTTCTTACGGAGCCACTCTTTGTTGCCCGGGGGTGTGTTTTGGATCATTGTCATGTTGGAAGACCCAGCCTCGTTTCATCTTCAAAGTTCTCACTGATGGAAGGAGGTTTTGGCTCAAAATCTCACGATACATGGCCCCATTCATTCTGTCCTTAACACGGATCAGTCGTCCTGTCCCTTGGCAGAAAAACAGCCCCATAGCATGATGTTTCCACCCCCATGCTTCACAGTAGGTATGGTGTTCTTGGGATGCAACTCAGTATTCTTCGTCCTCCAAACACGACGAGTTGAGTTTATACCAAAAAGTTCTACTTTGGTTTCATCTGACCACATGACATTCTCCCAATCCTCTGCTGTATCATCCATGTGCTCTCTGGCAAACTTCAGACGGGCCTGGACATGCACTGGCTTCAGCAGCGGAACACGTCTGGCACTGCGGGATTTGATTCCCTGCCGTTGTAGTGTGTTACTGATGGTGACCTTTGTTACTTTGGTCCCAGCTCTCTGCAGGTCATTCACCAGGTCCCCCCGTGTGGTTCTGGGATCTTTGCTCACCGTTCTCATGATCATTTTGACGGGATGAGATCTTGCGTGGAGCCCCAGATCGTGGGAGATTATCAGTGGTCTTGTATGTCTTCCATTTTCTGATGATTGCTCCCACAGTTGATTTTTTTCACACCAAGCTGCTTGCCTATTGTAGATTCACTCTTCCCAGTCTGGTGCAGGTCTACAATACTTTTCCTGGTGTCCTTCGAAAGCTCTTTGGTCTTGGCCATGGCGGAGTTTGGAGTCTGACTGTTTGAGGCTGTGGACAGGTGTCTTTTATACAGATGATGAGTTCAAACAGGTGCCATTCATACAGGTAACGAGTGGGGGACAAAAAGCTTCTTACAGAAGACGTTACAGGTCTGTGAGAGCCAGAGATTTTCCTTGTTTGAGGTGACCAAATACTTATTTTCCACCCTAATTTACGAATAAATTCTTTACAAATCCTACCATGTGAATTCATGGATTTTTTTTTCACATTCTTTCTCTCACAGTTGAAGTGTACCTCTGGTGCAAATTACTGACCTCTGTCATCATTTTAAGTGGGGGAACTTGCACAATCGGTGGCTGACTAAATACTTTTTTGCCCCACTGTAGCTGCTAAATGTTGTTAATTTGTTTCTTTCTGTAGCTGGGGACTTGGATGGGGAGAGATGGGATACATTAAGATGAGCAGGAACAAGTACAACCAGTGTGGGATTGCCACTCGAGGAATCTGCCCTCTGGTCTAATGAGGTGGGAGTAAACGCATCCTCATTTTGTCCTTATTTGACAAACAATTACTTAAAATACCATTTAAGCATATGTAACTTCTGATAATCAAACGGTATGTTTTTACAGTACACTACAGCTTACTATAGGATCGTGGTTATGGGTATTAGTTTTTTAGTTTTATCTAAATTAACTGAGTTATAAGACAGTATCTTTTTTATGGTGTCAACCAGTCTCTCTTTTCCCAAAACTGCAATTCACATTGAGATATAAACATTTACATTTGCGTTTTTACTGTAGTGGTGGGTATGACTTAATAACCATCTTGTGATGTTACCATTAGAACTATTAATCCGTTGATCAATCAGCTTTATTCAGAAAGAGAACCTCAGCCCTTGTGGGATGCATTTCTATCCAGTTTTCTGCAGATCTTTGTGTTTAATCCAGAATAAAGCAGATTTACTGAATATCTGCTGGCTTTTTCTGTAGAGTTGTCAGTGACAGTTTTGTTTCATTTAGAAATGTTTAAATACTTATTAATACCAATGAAATGATATTGCTGAATAATGCACCTTTTGCTGGTCCTTCCTTATCAGGTGTGTGAGTGGGTGGATTTACTATGTTAACAATATTAAATCATTGGTAAAATGTATCAGTCAAATCAAATTATGTACTGCTGATACATTTCTCTAAAATCCATGTGGGTTTTCAACATTTATTTGGTATTTCATGGATTCCAATTGAGTTCCCATTGGCTCAACTTTGAGAGTCACCAATATGTATAAATAGCATATCATTACACTTAAGCAAATTAATTACATGCTATTTGTTGTGGAAAATAAAACCAAACTGATTTTCTGGGATTTATTGAAAGAATCCATCACTCCAGCACAAACAAGGCTCATACCATGATTTTAAGTTGTTTTAAGTTGTAAATCAGTCAGATTTGACCCAAACACGACAGGAAGGTTAAAGCTTCTGTTAAAATGTTCAGCAATGCTTGATTTAATCTTGCTTGATGTTGAGAAATGTGTGATATATCATGCCATTAACCATTGAAAATGTTTATTAAAAAACTCCTTACCTTCACCTGTCCCTCCCTCAGAATATCCTCAAGCGCTGATGCAATAGCTGATCCTGTCTGTTTTCGGAGGGAGAAACATTTTGTCGCTCATCCAAGTGACTTCTTGGAAAAGTCACTATAACAAGTATGATTCAATGCAGAGAGGTCTATTAACACATAGTGAGTGAAAAAGGTGACTGAAAAGCAATGCATCATGGGAGTCCCCCAGCAGCCTACCCCTATTGCAGCATTACTAAGGAAGGATTCAGGGTCACCTGATCCATCCTTAGCTTTATGATTTAGCAAAAAGGAAAGTTTTAAGCCCAATCTTTAAAGTAGAGACAGTGTCTGTGTCCCGAGTCCAAACTGGAAGCTCGTTCCACAGAAGAGTGGCCTAGGAATATTCAGACCTCAGTCAGGCGCAAGAAATGTTTCTCCTTTATAAAGTTTTATTACACAAAATTAAACGGTTATAATTTTAGCACCATGGAGAGTGCACATAAATTTCACTGTATTTACTGTGCTCTAATGCAAGACTGTTTTTAGTGGTGGACACAAATTCAACTGCATGCACTTTCACACTGCATGAGATAAAGATTACAGACAGACACATGTACACACGCGATTTTTCTTGATTTAGTAAATCTGGGTCTTAATGGTGTAACCACTTATTTCAGTTGAGACCTGCTGAATAAAACTTTCATTTTGCAAACTATTGTGCTTGGCTTCTTCTGGTTGTAATATTCTTACCTCAACTGTTAGCCTTTGTTTGGGAGCTAATCTAATATCTGCCCACATACCATTCAACATTAACTCTAAATGCACCTCAGAGTTCTGCATAAATGACTTAATACCAAAGAAGACCTTCCACCTGACCTCCACTTTTCTAGAGATGCAGTCCACTTGTTCAGAACATGGCATCATTTGTATTAAACCATTATGTACTAATTTGAAAAAAAAATGTTTGTTAGATTGTTAAATGTTTGTTTAAACAAAACAATCAGTATGTGATTGCATTTATTGAAACCTAGTTGAAAGGCTTTGTTACATTCCCCAAACCTTGTTCATGAAGCTCAGCAACTTAAGAAGTTCACCTTCTTTGGTGGGAAAATGGGTTTGACTGTGCATGTTTATTATGTCCTCAATCCCTTAATAACTCATATACAGTTCGTCTGGTCAGTTAATGTGTTAGAGTCCAACTTAAACACTGTGCAGTTTCCAGTTATTCGCTACATATGACCATGTCTACATGCCATAGTGTTTTTATTATCATTTATTTTCAAAAACCGAACAGACAGAATAGGGCAGGACAGGTTGGTTTCAACCTGAAGTTCACTGAACATGTAATTCTGGAAATTGAGGACAAAAATGTGTGGATGACAGTAACGGCAATAACAGTCTTTACACTGAAACATGTTTGACAGGTTGCACTGGTTTATTCAGAAGTTAAAGTTCAGTTTACGAACTTTGCATTGTTCAGCCGCTTCTTTTCTTCCTCTGCTCATCACTCAGTTATACAGGCATAATAAATGATATGAGTAATCAAAGTGATCAAGGTTCAGCCTTTTTTATATTGGTTTGCATATCGTTCTCAGCTGCTAATGTTTTCTTTAGTGTCTAAAACCTTTAATTTGATTATCTTTAAAAATCAATCTGACATTTGCTCGTCATCACTACAGGTACACATAAAATAAAGGGATATAGTTTGTTGTCTTTTGTATTCTTTTTTTTTTTTTAATAGATGAAGAATAGAAATTAAGACAAAAACTTCTTCTCTTTAACCTTTGTCACACATTCTTAATGAGATTTTCCAAGCTAAGGTGACAAGTTAGTTTAAATTACAAACAGGACCTGTGGATTCAAAAATATGTGATTACTGCCTGGGGCTACAGTTGTAGCCACTGGTGCAGACTGACAGAAGCGAGGCTGCCATATCGCGCCATCGGCCCCTCTGGCCAACACCAGTAGGCAAGTAGGGTAAAGTGTCTTGTCCAAGGACACAACGACCAGGCCAGAGAGCCCAGGGATCGAACCGGCGACCTTCCGGTTACAGATGCGATTCCCAACCCCCTGAGCCACGGTCGCCCTTTGGTTGTTCGTCCTGTAATTGGAAGGTTGCCGGTTGGAGCCCCGGCTCGGACAGTCTCGGTCGTTGTGTCCTTGGGAAAGACACTTCACCTACCGCCTACTGGTGTTGGCCAGAGGGGCCGATGGCGCAATATGGCAGCCTCGCCTCTGTCAGCCTGCCCCAGGGCAGCTGTGGCTACAACTGCAGCTTGCCTTCACCAGTGTATGAATGTGAGAGTCAATGAATAGTGGAATTGTAAAGCGCTTTTCGGGGTCCCGAAATGCAATCCATTATTACTAAAAAATTTTCCATGAAATATTAACTTCATTTGCTTCATCAGAATCGATAGTCTGTAATGTTTTATGGATTTTAAATCAAATAAAATGTTGGATGAGTAGTATTCTGTCCAACTAAAAAAATGTAAACTCTGATCCAAATTAGACTGTGACTGAGCAGTCATAGCTTAACAGAATGTACAGCAGTGGGTTCAAGTACATTTAATTCTCAGCACCTTGCAGAGAAATACACCCTAAAGACTTCTTTTGGAAGGAAGCATTAGCTGTTTCAAAACCCTGATTCTGCATTGTGGCTGAATTTTTGAGAATTAAATAATGGCTTGGTGTAATATGTCACGCTTTGTAGTTTATGCAAAGGTTTAATTTACCTAATTTTAAGCCCTTTTTAAAACCTTAGAATTTAAAGTGGGTATTCTTCCTGTTTTAATATGACTGTAAAGAACGAGTTTATGTTTGACATAATGTGAAATGCCTTCAACAACAAGGTGAAGTTCAATGATTTTGTGTTGTTCAAAGTTTACATGAAAATCCCAGGCAGTTAATTGCAGTGGCCCATGATCACTTGGTCACTTTTCAATCCACTGGCATGAGTGATGCTGGTGTTGCTCTTGTCAGAAATGATCACAGTCTGTAGAAACAATCTGACAAGAAATACAAGGGGACATCACAAGAGGGCGCCAGAGGTGGCTCAACAGACATAACCAGTATTCAGTATTTTTGGAGGAGTGAAAAAAATGTGAATGTGTGACACTCAAGAGATCAAGAGAAGTGTATAAAAGAGAGGAGAGATTGTGGTAAGGCTTGCTTGATAAACTGGAAACTTTATGTTTTCTCCGTATGCACTAGTTCAATATAACTGATATTAGATGCATTGTGTGACTGGTGATCAATTAATCAAGATTCAAGAGGTTAAATTTTTTTCTAAGACATGATGTAACATCCATCCATCCATTCGCTTCCGCTTATCCTTTTCAGGGTCGCGGGGGGCGCTGGAGCCTATCCCAGCTGTCATAGGGCGAGAGGTGGGGTACACCCTGGACAGGTCACCAGTCTGTCGCAGGGCTAACACATAGAGACACAGACAACCAGTCGCACTCACATTCACACCTATGGGCAATTTGGATTAATCAATTAACCTATCCCCACAAACTGCATGTGGGAGGAAGCCGGAGTACCCGGAGGGAACCCACGCAAACACGAAGAACATGCAAACTCCACACAGAAAGACCCCTGCCTGATGGTGGAATTGAACTCAGGACCTTCCTGCTGTGCAGCAACAGTGCTAACTACCGTGCCGCCGTGCTGCCCCATGATGTAACATGAGAAGGAAAAATTAAATAAGTCCACAGTGACACAGCACTACAACAACCTAAACAACTGACAACTAAATCACAAAAAAAATGTGTATAATGGAATTCAAAATTTAGAAATAATGAACAAAAAGCTACCAGTGATATGAATAAGATAAGAGCCCATGCAGATATATGTAGATGTAGACATTCGAGGTTACTGCACATAGTGAGTCCCTGGTGTTTGTGTATTTGTATGAGAAAGGTCTTTAGTGTGTGGCAGAGTTTGCTTCTGGGAAGACACTTAGACTTGTTGTCAGGAGTTGTGGGGGGTGTTAAAATCTCCCAATTCTTTTAATCTTTGGGCTGAAGGAAGGACAATACTCGGTGTATAAATGCTCAATCAACAATCATTTATTTCCATACAATGAGCATAAACCATCCGGATGGGGAGACATGCATGCAGAGGGTCACAGCAAATCTCAAAATGGTGACGGGTTACTCAGCTTCTTATAGCCTCTATATAGCCTAAACATTCACATTCTTTCTCTGTTATGGCGCCTATGTTATGACCTCGGCTCCCTGTCTTTCTGCTCTCCGCAAAGGTGGGGGTATGGAATGTGGTCTGCCTCCTCCACCATCGGCACAGGGTCCCTTGCACACAACACTCTCTCCATGATTCAGCAGCATGAAATGCCAAGAAACAGTGCAACACATTCACAGCAGATCAAGGGTACAGGGTAATGCACACCTGTCTAACAAATCCAAAAGTGGTCACATTCGTTTAACCCAAAAATATAATGGAAACGAAGCTACATACACAGCACACAATCTAGACTAAAGGACACTATATGACCCACAGCAGTCAACACAATTCAACCACTTTAACCACAGACACAAGACAACATGATAACAGAATAATCTCACAGGGGAAATGGAACTGCCAACCACAGTCCTCCGTGTCCCTGGCAAGCCTGAAAGGGAAAAAAAACACTTTTGTTTGTATTTTTATGTATTTCTAATTAATAAAAAAATAACTACATTACCTGAATAAATTGGCAGAGGACCTTGGATGCTGGTTTCGCCACTTACAAGTAATGGGAAAAATGTTTGTCCACCTCTTAGTTGGACTCCTCTTTACAGCACAACTAATTTGTTCAGTGAAGGTGGTTGGTAATGTGAAGTTTGACCTATATATTTCTTTATCTATCATTATGATTCAGGAATGAATGGCATCAAATGTATTTAGGTAAAAGGTAGTTAGATTCTCAAAATCTCACATCTCAAAAGAGGAAAAGACATTTTCACTGTAAAATTCTAATTTTAGAGTAGTGATATTAAGAGAGTGTTTGTAAGCAGACCAACAGGAGAAATATACCACTGCCTTTCAATATGTTGGTCACAATATATTTAAGTCTAGGACTGTGTGTGTCACTTAGCCCAGAAACACCTGCAAAAACTACTTCAGACAAAAGAAGACCAGGAAATGCTGACTGTCATGAAGGTTCCTCCAC